CACATGGTACATTACATATACAAAAAACAAGAAAAAGTATGTCCCCTTGGGATCTCTGGTCATGAAATTGGGCTGTACTGTGTCCGCAGTCTCTGGTCATCTACCATGTACTGTGTCCGCAGTCTAACATGTCATCCCAGTGCACTGTGTCCGGCAGTCTCTGCTCAATGACTTCTCCTGAGCTACTGTGTCCGCAGTCTCAGTGGTGATCCCCCTTGGATGTGTTGCTGCAGCTCCTGCCTCCTGTACAAGAAGCACTGTGTCCTCGCAGTCTCTGGTCATCAAGAATCTTGCTGTACTGGAAAGGTCCAAAAGTCTCTGGTTCATGTGTCCTAGACAGACTGTACTACAAATGGAGAAAGTTTCTGTCATCCCTGTGGTCTGTGTCAAGAGCACTGCACAGAATCTCTGAGTCAAGAAGAATCCTGTACTGTGTAAAGACCTACAGTCTCTGGCACATGGTCATCTCCATCTACATTAAACAAGTGGAGTACATGGGAGGACCCACGGAGGAAGCATTGCTGTACAAAAAGAATGGTCACGTCCCCTGGATGTTCCACAGCACTACTGGCAAAATATACTGTGGACAGATCCAAGATTGAGTTGTTTTGGGAAGAACACACAACACTATGTGTGGAGAAAAAAACGGCCCAGCACCAACATCAAAACCTCATCCCCACTGTGAAACATGGCGGAGGGAGCATTTTGGGGCTGCTTTGCTGCCTCTAAAGGACGGATTGTTGTCTGTATTGATGGGAAAATTAATTCCAGAGTTTTTCAAGACATTTTGCAGGAAAACGTACGTGACGAACATCTGTCCGCCAACTGAAGCTCTAGAGGATGGGCGATGCAACAGGACAATGACCCAAAATACAAGTAATTCAACAAAACAATGGCTGCAAACAGCACAGAATACGCCTTCTATGGCCCAGTCAGAGTCCTGACCTCAACCCATTGAAATGCTGTGGCATGATATAATAGAGCGATTCACACCAGACATACATAATATATACACTGAAACAGTTTTGTGAAGAGGAGTGGTCCAAAATACTCCAGATCGTAGCATATCAACTACAGGATACGTTTGGTTGAGGTTATTGCTGCCAAAGGAGGGTCAACAGTTATTAAGTAAAGGTTCACATACTTTTTATTCCTAATTGTGATGTGTTTACATGTTATGTGCAATTAAATATATAATATCTAATGTTTGTGTAGTATTATGTTCAGCATATACTGTGTTCTTCTATTGTTGTGACTTAGATGACGTTCAGAGCACATTTTATGCCCAATCCATGTCCACGTAATCCCAAAGGGGTTCACATACTATTTTCTTGCAACTGTATATATATGTGTGTGTGTATATATATATGTGTGTGTGTGTATATATATATATATATATATATATATATATACACACACATACATATATATTGAATATGGCCAAAATTGTAGTATTTCAAATATATGGCAATATATTTGGGGACGAAAATTTTCAAAATATATTTAAAATATATTTTTCTTCCAAGTGGGAGGGAAAATGGACTAGACCCTGAAAACATATTTTTACCCGAAAGATGAAATACTGTATACAATTGTCCCATCCAGCAGAGTATAATCAGAGGTGGCCATCAAAGACCACGACACCTACCTCTTCCTGCACCCCGTGGATCAGCAGCATTCGCACACAGGTTGATATGGGCACAGCAATCTCACACCCAAATCTGTCTAGGTGGGTTGCCAGCGGCACTCCGTATACCTCGGCAGGAGAATGATATGTTGGAACTGGAGAAGAAAACAAGAAACATAGTAACAGACTGACAATTCATGGGGCCCCCGGGCAATAGGGGATCATGGGGCCCCTGTGTCCTTGCCCAAACTCAAAAAAGCCTATGAAAAAGGTACCAGGGGCATCTCATGGGGCCCCCTACTTGCCCTGGGCCCTTGGGCAGTGCCTGAGTTTCCAAATGCTCAGTCCGCCCCATCATAGTAATCATGTGGAGATGTATGAGGGAGCCTCGTGTATGACTGGTGGGGATTTTTCAGCAGGTTCCCAGTAGGTTCAGTGGTACAATGGCCTACAAGACGCTCTGAGGGGTGGTGCCCACTCAGGAACCTCCAGACAACTAGCGTTTTCGAGAGGAGGTCAGCAATTGCAGCAGGTGCTTCCTTGAAGAAGGTTAGGTAGGCAGCAGAGCCAAGATCTCATGAAGGAACAGATGGACAAAAGTCCTGTGCCTGCACCAAGGACAGGAGGTGGGGTGACCTGTTCTGAATAGACTCCCTCCCATTTATCATCACAGAGGACAAGGGGGCGCTCTTTACGTCTGGAGGAAAAGAAATGTAATCTCCAAACACGGAAAGGTTTCTTCACAGTAAGAGCTGTGAGAATGAGGAATAGACTCCCTCAGGAGTTGGTTGTGGCCAGCTCAGTGGGTTGCTGTAGGAAAGTCCTGGATTCTTTCTTGGATACACAGAACATAACTGGATATAACATTTATAGGGAAAGTTGATCCAGGAAATAGCCGATTGCCTCTCGGGGGATCAGGAAGGAATTTTTCCCCTGCAGGAGCAAATTGGATCGTGTTTTGCTGGGATTTTTTTTTTGCCTTCCTCTGGATCAACCGTGGGTGTAGGATTATAACTTTTTTTTTTTTTCTATGGTTGAACTGGATGGACTTTTGTCTTTTTTCAGCCAGACTAACTATGATTTTATGCTAGTTTCACAATTCATTTTTATTAGGGATGCACAGATACCGAGTATTTTCATGATTACACGTGAAAAGGCTCCTGATACCGGAAACTTTGCGGAGCGATTTGCGTCAATACAAAGGTTAGCATGCGGTTTGAACTGGTATGAGATTCCTGTCCAAATCGCATACGGTTTCCCGCACTGCTCCTCTGTGATTCCAGGCTTGTCATAATTCACACAGGAGCAGTGCGGGAAATGTTCCTGCAGGCATCCCATGCTGAGCGAACAGTAAGCGTGTGGGGATGTACTATGGAAGCAGATGCTCCATATTCTCAGCTTCAAGGAGAAGGGAGAAAGCGGCGGGGATTTGAAATCCCGCTTTCTCTCCTCTGCTTGCAGGGATGACAGGTCGGGCTAGAGGGCTTTTGACTGGTCAGCACCATCACATGGACGGTGCTGACCAATCAGATGCTGTCTAGCCCATACTGCAAGGAGAAGAGAGAAAGCCACTTCACAGGTCTGAGGTTTGAAATCCCAGAGGCTTTCTCTCCTCTCCTTGCAGTGATGACAGTACCGGCTAGATGGCATCTGATTGGTCAGCACCGTCCATGAGACGGTGCTGACCAATTAAAAGCCCTCTAGCCCATATTGTCTTCCCTGCAAGGAGAGGAGAGAAAGCAGCGGGGATTTAAAATCTTTAGACCTGTGAAGCGGCTTTCTCTCCTCTCCTTGCAGGGATGACAGGTCGGGCTAGAGGGCTTTTGACTGGTCAGCACCATCACATGGATGGTGCTGACGAATCAGATGCTGTCTAGCCCGACCTGTTATCCCTGCAAGGAGAAGAGAGACAGCTGCTTCACAGGTCTGGGGATTTGAAATCCCTTTGCTTTCTCTCCTCTCCTTGCAGGGATGACAGGTCGGGCTTGAGGGCTTTTGATTGGTCAGCACCGTCACATGGATGGTGCTGACCAATCAGATGCCATTTAGCCCGTACTGCAAGGAGAAGAGAGAAAGCCGCTTCACAGGTCTAGGGATTTGAAATCCCAGTGGCTTTCTCTCCTCTCCTTGCAGCAATGACAGTACTGGCTAGACGGCATCTGATTGGTCAGCACTGTCCATGTGATGGTGCTGACCAATCAAAATCCCTCTAGCCCAAACTGTCATTCCTGCAAGGAGAGGAGAGAAAGTTGCGGGGATTTCAAATATTGAAAATCCTGTAACTTTACCATAGGAGCTCCCCCACATAATACAAGGGGTTGGAGAACCTTCAGCGTGAAATGAAGACACCAAGAGCAGCTGTTACTCTACGATGGGTGTCTTGTGACTAGTGCATATCCAATGACCCCTTCTGCATGATGGCTAGGAATGTCCTCAAGACCTTTAACCATTTTCAATCCATTCTACATCATAGACATCAGCTAGTAAGGAGCCTGATCTATGTAAGGGGAGAGGGCCCTGGGTGGTGGACTCTAGTGGTGGCCATTCTCCTACGATGGTATACCAAAATATGGATAGAATGAGAGACAACTACTGACCGCTGTCCTTCATGGTGTCTCTTAGCTCCCCCAACACATCCGTCAGCTGCGCTAATGATTTCCGATGATACTCTGCCTGAAGTTCCAGAAGCTGTGGAGAAACATCAAGTTATAAGGGTCCAATAACGGATATAAAGGACAACAGAAGATACTAACAAGGGAGGACAATAATAATAGTGTTTATGTTGACACATGTCCATTGGCATTCAATAAAAAAAGGCTTCCTCTTGAAGAACCCAAAGCTGGTTCTTCCGAAACGAAGGAACGTCTTCTACCCTGACCCCATTACTACAGTTAAATTATAACCTCCTGCACTCAGATTTGGTGCTTAAAGACAGGACAGACGCTCCTCTTGGGTAATCTTGCAGATAAAATGCACAAACCATCATGCTGCCCTGTGAGTATCCCAAGGCAATGTCAGAAGGAAAGATCCCTAAGCAGCACATCAAAGGAAGACCCATGTGCATCAGGTGAGATGAATGGCAGCCTCAGCCCGGACTATAGCCAGGCCACGCCCCCAACATGTTTCACTCCACCCCTTGAAGCTTAATCATGGCAAGCTGCAGGAAGGGCTCTGAGGAAAAGGGCTTAACCCTCGAAACGCATTAGTGTTCTTGGAGGATATGAGGTCTTCCCATGTCATCAGCCAAGTATGGTGGAATTGGAGGTGGTCTCGTCTGTATTTCTAGATATACTTGCGCATGACATTTACTAACAGACATGTCGGACTGGATGGCACGCCACTTCCTAAAACTCAATCTATACTAAACTGAGCCCACAATATTTCCTCCCCCACATGCCTCTTCCCCCGATTTCTCGGTCAGGATCAATAGTACCACTATCAACCCATCCCAGCATGCCAGGGTCCTAGGGGTAACCCTGGATTCTGAACTATCCTTTCAGGTCCTCATCCAATCCCTGTCCAAATCATGCCGCCTCAACCTCCACAACATCTCCAGAATACGCCCCTTTTTAACCAATGACACCACAAAGCTTCTAATTCACTCCCTGGTCATCTCTCGCCTCGACTACTGCAACTCCCTCCTCATTGGCTGACCTTTACATAGGCCACACCCCCTCCAGTCATCATGAATACTGCTGCCAGGCTCATCCACCTTACCAACTGTTCATTGTCTGCTACCCCTCTCTGCCAATCCCTCCACTGACCTCCACTCAGTGTCCTCCACCCCTCTCTGCCAATCCCTCCACTGGCTTCCACTCAGTGTCCTCCACCCCTCTCTGCCAATCCCTCCACTGACCTCCACTCAGTGTCCTCCACCCCTCTCTGCCAATCCCTCCACTGACCTCCACTCAGTGTCCTCCACCCCTCTCTGCCAATCCCTCCACTGACCTCCACTCAGTATCCTCCACCCCTCTCTGCCAATCCCTCCACTGGCCTCCACTCAGTGTCCTCCACCCCTCTCTGGCAATCCCTCCACTGGCCTCCACTCAGTGTCCTCCACCCCTCTCTGCCAATCCCTCCACTGGCCTCCACTCAGTGTCCTCCACCCCTCTCTGCCAATCCCTCCACTGGCCTCCACTCAGTGTCCTCCACCCCTCTCTGCCAATCCCTCCACTGGCCTCCACTCGGTGTCCTCCATCCCTCTCTACCAATCCCTCCACTGGGACAAAAAAAAAAAAATTAACCCAAATTAGTTTATAACCAAAAATAATAATTTAAAAAAAAAATGTTTTAAATTTTTTTTTTTTTTTTATATTATTATTTTTTTTTGTTTTTTTTTTTTAACATACCATCTCCCTAGCAGTACAGTGTCACCATATTGTAGTGTCACTGTACTACTTGTGGGGGGTGATGAAGTTTTTGTTTTTTTTTACACTGATTGCTTTTACACCCATAAAGGCTGTAAAAGCAATCATTTCTCTTTCTCTCTGTCTGCATTCTTGCAGCCATTGAGAACTACTGTGTGAGCTGTGATTGGTCACAGCTTGTCACATGGTACAATGCTGTTGTGACTAGCCCTGTACCATGTGATCTCTGTGATCATTCACAGATTTCACACGTAGTAAGCAATGATGTCAGAAGTGACATCTTGCTTACTACTCTGAATGTGATGACTGATTGGCCAATCAGTGATCACATGATCGGGACCTTGCACAGAGGTCCCGTACAACGATCGGTGTTCCACTGTGTCTGGAGGACACAGTGGGCACAGGATCGCGGTGCTGTGCGCTCCCAGGGAGTGCGCACAAGCAGGGGGGCGGGGAGGCTGTTTATATACATGGGTCGGACGGGAAGTGGTTAATAAGGTGTTCATTCTCCCAGCAGTTGGTGGCTACGGAGGTTGACCATTGAGCCAAAAAATCTAACCGATTCCTCCACCCACACTACACAGCACAGATGGATGAATCCCCCTGCTGGGCTACTGTCTTCTGAATGCCACTGCTGGTGGCTGTCAGAATACCTGGACAGTGGCTGCATCTGATAGGCGTGTTCGCCATGCAGATTTATACGAAGTTCCGTTGATTTTTCAATCGAGGAACGTTGGGTTAAGAGGGGCCGACAGGGCCCCCCACAAGAGAAATTGGCAGCCAGCTTACGTAGCCCCCCAACTATATGATCACATGGTCACCTGCCATTACAGAAATAGTAGTTCTATATTGTGCTGCTCACCCCGCATGAAGTAGTTCTTGTATTCATTTTCTTTTGTCCCGAAGTGATAGAGGTCACATAAATAGTCATCCTGCATCAGAAGCAGAGAACTGTTATTGTTACTACAAATCTAGAGAAAGTGCAATACTCCTACATGATGAGAATAATAATAAATATCATCACAATAAGTTGTTGCTTAATCTTTGCCTTCACATTCATGTAAACCAGCAATCTCCAAAGTACGGCATGTGGGCCAAATGCAGCCCTTTGCTTGCCTTAATCTGGCCCTTGGAGCACAATCCCTTTCACTGACACCAATGATGGGGCACTATTCCTCCCACTGACACACAATGATGGGGCACTATTCCTCCCACTGACACCAATGATGGGGCACTATTCCTCCCACTGACAATGATGGGGCACCAATGATGGGGCACTATTCCTCCCACTGACACCAATGATGGGGCATATTCCTCCCACTGATACCAATGATGGGGCACTATTCCCCCACTGACACCAATGATGGGGCACTATTCATTCCACTGATGGGGCACTATTCACTGACACCAATGATGGGGCACTATTCCTCCCACTGACACCAATGATGACTGGATGGGACACTATTCCTCCAATGATGGGGCGCTACTGATACCAATGATGGGACACTACCCTATTCCTCCCACTGACACCAATGATGGGGACACTATTCCTCCCACTGACACCAATGATGGGGCACTATTCCTCCCACTGACACCAATGACTGATACCAATGGCACTATTCATCCCACTGACCACACTATTCCCTCCACTAATACCAATGATGGGACTCTATTCCTCCCACTGACACCAATGATGGGGTACTATTCCTCCCATTGATACCAATGATGGGGCACTATTCCTCCCAATACTTGACACTATTCATCCCACTGACACCAATGGGGACACTATTCCTCCACTATTACCAATGATGGGACACTATTCCCTCCACTATTACCAATGATGGAGCACTATTCCCCCCACTAATACCAATGATGGGGCTCTATTCCTCCCACTGACACCAATGATGGAGCTCTATTCCCACTGACACCAATGATGGGGCACTATTCCCCCCACTAATACCAATGATGGGGCTACTATTCCTCCACTGATTACCAATGATGAGGCACTATTCCTCCCACTAATACCAATGGGATATTCCTCCCATTGGGGGGCACTATTCCTCCTACTGATACCAATGATGGGGCACTATTCATTCCACTGATATCAATGATGGGACACTATTCTCCCACTGACACAAATGATGGGGCACTATTCCTCCCACTGACACCAATGATGATGGGGCACTATTCCTCCTACTGATACCAATGATGGGGCACTATTCCTCCCACTGACTCCAATGATGGGGCACTATTCCTCCCACTGACTCCAATGATGGGGCGCTATTCCTCCCACTGACTCCAATGATGGGGCACTATTCCTCCCACTGACACCAATGATGGGGCACTATTCCTCCCACTGACACCAATGATGGGGCACTATTCCTCCCACTGACACCAATGATGGGGCACTATTCCTCCCACTGACTCCAATGATGGGGCACTATTCCTCCCACTGACTCCAATGATGGGGCGCTATTCCTCCCACTGACACCAATGATGGGACACTATCCCTCCCACTGACACCAATGATGGGACACTATCCCTCCCACTGACACCAATGATAGGGCACTATTCCTCCCACTGACACCAATGATGGGACACTATTCCTTTCACTGGCAGCAATGGGTCACTAATTCTTCCCACTAAAAAAGTTTTTAACAGCACTGTAAAATAGAATATAGTGAATTGCTATATAACTATACAAATTATTAAACAATATTAAGATGCAGAAAAAAAGTCCAGCACATTATATATTCTGGTCCACCATTGGGTTATCACAGCTGAGTCTGTGAAAATGAATCACAAATGTGCAATGTATTTACAAATATATGAAAATTTACATGTTAAAATTACTTTTTTATATGTTAAAAAAAATCTGAAGAATATATTGTAAAATACATATTTTTAAAATATATTCTTCAGACACTGGGACATTTTCTACTCCCACTAGCCACAGTCTGGCCCCCTGAAAGGCAGTATACTGGGCCCCCTGTTTAGAAAGTCTGGAGACCCCTGCTCTACGTGTTCTGCTCCATGCACCTGGCTCTTTATGTTCAGCCCCATCCACTTGGCTTCCGTGTTCTGCCCCATTAACCTGCATCTTTATACCCAAAATCTGGAGGTCTGCTGGACCTTTATTCTGAGATTATTCTTCATTGCCCAGAGCCAAACTATTTTAATGATTATTTCCTAATAAAAAAAATGTCAATTGCCAAGCAGATGGGGCTGAACATAAAGAGCCAGGTGCATGGAAAGAATAAGGAGAGCCCATTACAAGGAGAGCCCAGTACATGGAGAGAACCTGGAGAGCCCAGTACATGGAGAGAACATGGAGAGCCCAGTACATGGAGAGAGAACATGGAGAGCCCAGTATATGGAGAAAACATGGAGAGACCAGTGCATGGAGAGAACATGGAGAGCTCAGTACATGGAGATAACATGAAGAGCACAGTACATGGAGATAACATGAAGAGCCCAGTACATGGAGCAGAACATGAAGAACATAGTATATGGAAAGAACATGAAGAGGAAAGTACATGCATTAGAAAATGAAGAGTCCAGTACATGGAAAAAACATGAAGCAGAACATGAAGAACCCAGTAAATGGAGAGAATATGAAGAACCCAGTACATGGAGAGAACATGAAGAGCAAAGTGCATGGAGAGAACATGAAGAACCCAGTACATGGAGAGAATATGAAGAACCCAGTACATGGAGAGAATATGAAGAACCCAGTACATGGAGAGAATATGAAGAACCCATACATGGAAGAACATGAAGAGCAAAGTGCCAGTACATGGAGAGAACATGAAGAGCAAAGTACATGGAGAGAATATGAAGAACCCAGTACATGGAGAGAACATGAAGAGCAAAGTGCATGGAGAGAACATGAAGAGAACCCAGTACATGGAGAGAGAACATGAAGAGCCAAAGGAGAGAACATGCAAAGTGAGAGAACATGAAGAGTCCAGTACATGGAGAGAACATGAAGAGCAGAAAATGAGAAACCAAGTACTCGTAGAGAACATAAGGAGCCAATTACATGGGGACGGCATAAAGATGAAGGTTCATGGGGTAGAACATAAAAGCCAAGTGGATGGGGCTGAACATAACGAGCCAGGTGCATGGAGCAGAATGTAAGGAGCCAATTGCATGGGAGGGCATAAAGAGGCAGGTTCATGGAGCAGAATGTAAGGAGCCATATGCATGGGGAGGGCATAAAGAGGCAGGTTCATGGGCAGAATGTAAGGAGCCATATGCATGGGGAGGGCATAAAGAGGCAGGTTCATGGGGCAGAACATAGAAGCCAATTGAATACGGGACAAACTAAAGAGTCCACCAAAATATTCTGGTGAAATTTGGGACACTTTGGCAAAATGCATTGGGATGAAAGGTGGAAAAAACTTACTGTGATTTGGGAAGGTACCTAGGTAATTGATTCCTGAGGGTCAGGGAAGGTCACTTTAACCTTCTTGGCTATTTTTTAAAATGCTTTCAAAACAATTTAATAATATTAAAAATCAGGAACTGTCTTTTTTAGGACAAATATTCCTTTCTAGGTGCCCACTCAGAGCATCTAGAGAAAAATACAATGAAAATGTTATATGGAGA